TATAGTACTTTCTTAGTAGTTTTTAAATAGCTCCATTTTTAAGCATATGTATTTACAAGGTGTATGGTAGACATCGACTAGAACGCAGCTCATATAATCCAGCTAATTCAGACGAGCCGAAATCGTAAAGGCGGTTTTCCACTAAACGGACAAAACAAAAACAAAACACAAACTTGTGTCGAATAAAACAAAACTGTAACTTTTCGCAAACTTTTTGAAGACTAGCGTGTTTTGCGACAGTTGGAGTATTGTTTTTCGGGTCCCGCTTCAAAAAGACGGTTTTCCACTAAACGGACAAAACAAAAACAAAACACAAACTTGTGTCGAATAAAACAAAACTGTAACTTTTCGCAAACATTTTGAAGACTGGCGTGTTTTTGTTTTTCGGGTCCCGCTCGAAAGCGGTCACATCAAAAGGTTTCGACGTGTTTTGAAACTCAAGTCTGTTTAGTGGAAACGGTCGTGTTGTATTTTCTATTTAAGTGATCCAACCCAATATCTATTTTGGCGTTTTCTTCTTCCCAAAAACAATATTTTAATCATTAATGATTATAGCTATTAAAAAATATATATGTGTTCAGTTAAAGTGTTTACTTGGCTAAGATACAAACTAACCAAGTAAACACTTTAACCGTACATATACCACGAACTCCATCCATGGATATCTGGGAAACTGAAGGATTTTTTTGAAATTGTGTTGGCGTGATACGGACTGTGGAGCCTACCAAGCTAAAATATTTTCAAGGTCATCGTATTTCCGGTTATACCGGAAGTTGATATTAACTTTCTTATTATAAATGGAACCCCTGTATATTATTGCAAAAAAATAGGGGTTTCCGTTTAAAAATTTCGAGTTTTCCACATATTCTGAACTTCATATACGATAAAAAAAAATTTGACCACCCTGTATAAAAACTGGAAAATTTTCATGTCAAATTCGATAAAGCAGGTCTTTCTCTACAAAATGTCCAATTTGCACAAAAAAAATAAACCGGGAAAACGAAATTTTGCTGACAGTCTGCATATGTCAATTTTTTCAAAATCGAAATATCTCGGAAACGGTCAATTCTAAGTATGGAGTGTGTTATATGTTTTCAACTTAAAAATGGAGGATGTCTCCAAAAATGCAATAATATATAGGGGGTTCCATTTAAAATAAGAAATTTAATATCGACTTCCGGTGTAACCGGAAGTACGATGATATTGAAAATATTTTAACTTGGTGGGCCCCACAGTCCGTATCACACAGTCACAAATTCAAAAAAATCCTTAGAGCGGTCTCCCAGATATCCATCTATGGAGTTCGAGGTGGGACACTCTGTAGACACACTTTTTTTCCAAGGACGTCAGTAAATAGTAAATATAAACCAGCCATAACTAAGAATAAAAAAATCTTCTCTAAACATGTTGGCTCGTTATTGGAAAAATGTGTTCCGACTTCCTCGCGACAACCAGTGGAAAAGGACTGAAAACAAAAATAAAACTCGAACAAAATGTAGCCCGCTTGATGGAAACAAGAGTTTTGGGTTTGTTTCAGTTTTGTTTTTGTTTTGTTCTAGAAAACACAAACAGGACATAAACTCAACTGTCCGTTTAGTGGAAAACCGCCATAAGACGCGCGTAGCAGGCTGCGCATTTTTCTCAGTGTGCAGAGAACGCCACCAGCTGTATTAATAAACAGTGTAATAACTTTCGGTTGAGACCGCTGGGCGGAGGGGTGGTACGATCGGAGTGAATTTGATGTCGTTGTGTAGGTTAGACCTTTCTGCGTCGAATAGAAGTGGTTTGGACATTCTACAATTAAGGCAGTAAAATGGAAGGAGAATGGCGAACCTGTACATTTGTGCTATTTTGCGTCAGCATTTTTCTTCGTAGTACATTTTGTAAATTTTTACTCAATAATTGAAAATAGTGTTTTTTAAAGCGATATTAAGTATCTCTATCAAGAGATCCACAGATCATCCCGAAGGATTTCGTTGCGCTCCTGTTAAAATTCATGTCTTGCTGATGAATTTTGGAGAAAAGTGAAATATTTGGGTGAAGACTGCCCCAAATATGGGTCAAAACTGATTTTTCCCTAAATTTTGTCCAAATATATCATTTTCGTAATATTCTGAGATGCCGAACACGCTGTTATTAGTAAAATTTACCATGACCTCGATAGTTCTCAGAAAATCCACTATTTGGGTGAAAATTGGCCCAAATATTTATTTTATTATACTTAAAATTATATATTTGCACACAATTTTCGAAAAAATCAATTTTGATCAATGTTTGGGCCAGATTTCACTCTAAAATTTCACTTTTCTCCGAAATTCATCGGTAAGTAATGAGTTTCGATTACAGGATTTAGCGCATCGAATTCCTTCGTAAATGATATGTGGGTCTTCTGGGTTTAGACTTTTTTTTGTGCTTGTGTAATTTCGAGAAATTGCTGTATACAAATAAATATAAGAAAAACAGGGATTTTCTTTTTAATTGATTTCAATTTTTATTGCAATTTAGTGCTTTGCTGTTAAGATATTTGAATAGAACAAAATGTTGACGTATGTAAAAGCTCCTGTGGAATCAGAATATGCTGTGTAAAAAAAACAATCGAACATTGATTTAAAAAGATATCGCTAAAAATAATTCCTTGGAAAAATACTTTTAGCACAAAATAATATAGGTACAAATTTTGATGATATCCGGTTTGAGTGTATATTAATGTTATCGTTACTTATTTTTGGCTAACCTCGTATATTTTAGTTGCATTATGTAATATTTATAATTATTGTTGCAGGTTCATAAATTTAGAAAGTGTGCAGTAAAAAACAATTGATACTTATAGGATGAAATATAGAACCATCGACATAATATTAAAGTGAAAAATTGTAAATTAAATCTATAGAACTTTTTATCACTACAATAGTAAGGAACTAAGTTCAAATACGGTGGGAAAAAAAACTAAAAACCTTTTTATTTTGGCACCTATGCGATGTTCATTTATTTGAGCAATTCGTACCTTTTTAGCACTTGTTTCTTTCTTCATAATAATTCATAATAACGGCTGTGTGATGCATAAGATAGAGAAAAGTATAATTCATTGAATCATTTTTATATTTATTTCAGCGATACGCAAACCAATTTACCCGGTTATAAATAAAAGAAATAAAACAATAATCCCGAGAAGTGTTACAAAAATCATATTCGAATAAATACCAAGGCCGTCTGTGAACTTTTACGCAAACTAGGAAAGTTAAATTGTATATTTATAATAGCTTTTTTAAGAATATAATAGAGGTTGTGCAGTGATGGACAGAGAAAGTTGCGTCGCCTTTGTAGGTAATTTGATAGATTTTTTCCAATTAGTATGTACGTCTAAATTGTATCTATGCATTTAAAAAATGAGAATACGGTCTTTAAGTAGTCTGTGAAAATAACGCGTAATAACGAGTAATAAGTGATTTACTATCTTTCCTATCAAGTTGCTGTGAAATTTATGTTGCTATAAATATAGTTAGTTTTAACCTTTGTGTTGTGAATACCATGGAACTGGAACATCATAGTTATCCATAAACTCTTTATAGGTATGAACGATCATCATATTTTTATCTAAAATATTTGCGATAAATATCAATGAGAAAAAAACAGAAGACGAGTTGAGAAAATATTTAAATGTTACGTTATAGTTACAGATTACATGAGACACAAACATTTTTCTTCATTTTTGTACTTTTTAACAGTGTATGATACACCCCTGTATTTTGACCCCCGGAGAAGACGAGCCATCAGAAATGCTCCATCACGTCAGGACTATTCCCTAACCTCAAAAAATAGCTCAAAATTAGTGGAAATCTCGATATTTTGTTAAAATAAATATTTAACATTTTAAAGAAATTAAAGTATACGTATTAATTATTCTCTAAAATGCCTCCTTGTGGCGTTACAGCTATTTTAAACTAATTCTGAGCATTATTAAAATGCCTAAAACAACAAAATATAGGCACACCCGGATTTCCGTTTGCTACGTGTTTTTTCGTTTGGGTAGGTGTAGGGCTCTTATATATTCCTTTTTATTAGTTTGCGTTTAATTGCATCAAAATAAAAACATTTTATTTTTACACTTTTTTCTTTAAAATGCATCATTGAGGAGTTATAAGGATTTTAATAATTCTCCAAATTTGTTAAAAAGGGGCATTTTAGAGAAAAATAATGTGCAAGAATAAAAGAATAAAAAGTTTTTATTTTGACTCTATTAACACGTCTGTGTAATTTTATTTCAAAATTTTAACTATTTTAACAGACAATCGAAATTTCCACTGATTTTTATCTATTTTTTGAGGTTAGGGAAAAATTCTAACGTGACGAAACATTTCTGATGGCTCCATCTTCTTCAGCGGGTCAAAATACAGGAGGTAAGGTATCAGAGTAAGATAATTTCATCATAAAGAGGTTTATCATTACAATTATCATAAACATCATTATTTTTGAGGGATTTGGATGAGACATAACATTCAGAGTGTATGGCCTTCGAATATAGTCAAACTAACAGTGAGCGTCCTGTTATTTCGTTGGTACTATGAAATCAATACCAGTGTCGCAGCAGACGTAACAAAGTTTTAATTAATGAAATTATGGAAATAACTACTTTGTGTACTAATGCCCCAATCAGCATATATCTAGTAAACGGCTAATATCGATATTGACGGTGCAATTGTGTTGTCTGGGGCAGTAGTCTATAGAGTAGTTGTTTCTCACTATATCATTAACATTATTCTTAAGGATAACTACTGATAGTCTGCAAAGTACACTATAATACATATTTTTAAAACAGTTAGATATACAAGTGCCTTGGTTTATAGATGTACATGCCAATAGTATAATAAGTGAAAATAGTAAATAGTTATGTGCGTCTTTAGGGTCTATTTATTATAACTATTTGTTTTTTATTTATGTTAGTAGCGGAATATTTAACAATATTCTTTTGTAAGTACTAATTATTTTATATTTATTTTCAGTGGCCTAGCTATGCCCTACATCAGAATGAAAAGACTTTTTTTGCGGGGTAAGTTTCAAATATCGTTTACATCTTTTAGGGCAATATAATTTCTCAATAAAAATAAAAAATAATAAAATATTTAAATAGTTGCTCTAATATAGTTGTGAAAATGTTAAATATTGTCAATTTTTTTACAATTTTTATCCTAATATACACTGTGAGCAAAATGACTTTGTATGACATTGAAAATACAGTGTGTTTTCGAATTACTGCACGAGAGAAAATATGTATTTTGAGAAAAGTTATTCGAACAAATTCTAGTTTGCCTAAAATCGCATTACCACAGAAATATTTTAATATTCATGTTCAAAAATGTGAAATAGTTGCGGAGTAAAATAGTTTTAAACTAAATAAATACACTTCGCTCTTCAACTATTTTAAGTTTTCTTTTTTTATGTATTTAAATTTCCCTAACCGGAAATATTCCTTTTTTTTATTAAGATACGAAGTTGTGCCATACCATTCATGGCCCTTAGCTCATTATTTTTGTTTTCTTTTATTTGTTAAAATTGATAGGTTGACTCTCAACATGTGCCTTCAATCAATTTTTTACCAAGAGTTGACGCCGCTCTTTTTTCATTCCTTTCCCAATCTTACGCAAGTTGTTTACATACAAATACCCACATCACTCCGAGGTATTGACTCCGGATAAGCTTTTTTCCCGCATAATTCATGAATAAAGCTGTAGAGCGTAGAGACCAAGGTTAATACACTTTTTTTAAATCTAAACGTCTATTTTTCAAAGAGAGAAAGTTTGAGACTATTTGTGAGTGAAATGGTTGAACGCACATTATGTATTTTAAAAATATCCTTATCCTATAAAAGTAATACAGCAGAATAACAATATCTGTTATCGAAAGCTTACGCAGTGGATATAGTTCACCTCATATTCATAAATACAAATATTTACATTCGTTATCTGATAGTTTACGAACTATCACATGTTTGTCGTCTCTCAAGTTAACTGAATGCCTAAGAATATCGAAATCCTCTTCTTCGCTCAACTCGGAAGCCAGAAAATCATTATCTAAATCACTCAAACTAAAATAGGTTATAAACACAAAATATAGAGATTATAAGTATAACTATGATTTTGTGTATGTATTCAATGCGTATGCTCCAAGAATAGTTCTTCTAGTTCCTGCTCAGGACCATATACCGATTTCACCGGTTCTGAATCAGTTCAGAACTAGTTCCATCATTGTTGGAATGCTGTAAGTATTCTTACAGAATCAGTTCTATATCCGTTGGAACGCGAATTTCGTTCTGCGCAATCTCCGTCCGGTTCTGAACCAATTCTCCTGTCTTTTGGAACGAAGCTATAGTATGATGTCAAATATTTTCCTAAATCAACATTTGTATTTGAAGGATCTTTTTGTTGAGATATCGGGTGTTAAAGTTTTTTAAAATGTTTTACATAAGAAAATAACATACGGGGTGCTATATCTTTGGGGATCCCTATCACTTGACCACACTATAACTTTTTATGGGTACCTCAGTGACTATCTAATTCAGTTTTTCTAATGCGAAATGTATTTCGTATTAGAATTAATTAGTATTGGCAGAGGCATAGTACAAAATAATTCAGTGTGTCCTTAATTTTGACTTTGTTTTATTGTTTGAGGTATAAATGATACTTTTTTGGTAAAAATATGGATCAGATCTCTAAAATATCGATTATTATTCATCTTCTCTTTAAGGCGGTAATTACTGGTACCGGTATAAATGCATACAAAGACAAAAATCGTATTCTCAATACACTCAAAAGAATATGGAAGTTGTGTGTCGTAATGGTGTGCTGTTTTCCACAGCTACAATAATAATCTATGGAGTTTCTTGGAACACTTTAAAAAGTAGGTAAAATATAAATCAGTGGCAATTACTAGAACATGAAGTGGTGGTGACCTACTGATTTTAGTTGTTTTAAGGATTTCGCGGTTTGTGCCGATATTGAAAGAATGATGATCCTTTGGATTGCTTTGCTCTGGCCTACGTACCTTATCGCTATCAGTTCCAGACCTACATTGCACTTCCTCAACCTTAGCTAGGAGTCTTTGGCCTGCTATTGTTGTTCTCGGGTTATACTCTGTGGGGGCAGACAGCTATTCTGTGTATGTAAATTCTTTTTCTTCTTGGTTGGAGTGTTGAAATTCCTACGAAAAAGTATTTCAAAATAATCGGTTATACTTGGTCCATTATCAGTTTTTGTTTCTTATGGGCGCCATATTGAATTTCAAGTTGAGCAAATAGAGCATTTCTTTGGCTTTTCAATGATGTAAGTAAGAAAAAATTTCAAAGACAATCTCAAAAAACAATATTTCAATATCTTTTTATAAATCTGGCAACACCGCATAATTTTTCAAACTATTGCTCAACTCAACGCCATGTCATTAATGATAAGCTTTTACATAAATTTGAGACTATTCTATAATAGTTTCGAAAAATTATGCGGTGTTGCGGGATTTACTAAAATTATTAAAATACTGATTTTTGAAGTTGTTTTTGAAATTTTGTCTTACTTATTGAAAAGCCAAAAATGTGCTCTATTTGCTCAGCTTAAAAAAACTCAATATGGCGCCCATAAGAAAAAATAATGTTGATTATGATTCCTCGCAACCGAAACGTCGCGTTGCCATGAAAATTTAAATATATAATGAAATTCATTAAAGTAGCAACTGAACTGTCTAAAACTTTCACCATCTAACCATTTTCCTGTCTTATACAGGGTGTTTCTAAAATAGGGTTCCAAACTTCTGCTGCGTTTATAACTCATTAAAATAAGCCAAAAAGTTCCTATTAACGCACCCTTACGAAGTTATACGCCCTTAAAAGGGCTCAAACAAAACAGTTTTTTTTTCTGTTATTGACAAAACGGTCGCAAATAAATAGAAAAAAATTTATGGGTCTTACATAACTTTTACGTTAAATAACATGGGCTACTCCGTTTTTCGACATGCAAATCATATGCGTCCCATTTAGGTTGGTGAAGGGGGTTTTCAGCCCGTAATTTTTTTTGATTTCAAAATTATGCGATGTTGCGGGATTTACTAAAATTATTAAAATATTGATTTTTGAAGTTGTTTTTGAAATTTTGTCTTGCTTATCGAAAAGCCAAAAATATGCTCTATTTGCTCAGTTTAAAATTGAATATGGCGCCCAAAGACAAAAAAAAGGTTGATGATGGTTTCTCGCAACTGAAACGTCGCAATGAAAATCTAAATATACAGTGAATTTTCTCGAAAAAACTTGCTGTGAAATAGTGTTTTCAGATTTTAAAAATTCCTCTAAATAAAAAAGTTACAAACGGTTTTCGAAAACGCGACAATTACGTTTTTTTCAAAATAACTGAAGAGGTAGGACCGGTCTGCAAGAACCATTAAAATAGCAACATAACTGTTTAAAACTTTCACCATCTAACCATTTTCTTATCTCTTATAGTTTCCAAGATACAAAATGCATGTATCACCAAAATGGTCCAAAATATCGATAACTTGTACAATTACAAAGAGTATCAGTTGACAGTTTAAATAATTACAAGTAAACTTGATAGCCCTGACTAATTTTTGTCTTTCTTCTTTAATATTTCGAAAGAATTCAAATCTTTTATAGCTCATAAGCATCACCTAAGAGTATATCATCGAAAATATTTTAATTTAATTAATTTAATTTTATCGTGTATTTCATTATTTGATCTGGTACGGCATTTTTTTAATGCAAGAAGAAATTGTGGAAATACAGCGCCTGTGTTGATATTACTTTAAAGTAATCTTGTGCAAAACCAAGACAATTTCTAAACAATCGATTTGTCAGTCTTATTTCGAGAATCCCCATATACTCGATAAATCGTTAACTTCACCGTTCATTCAACATTGCAAAACACGTCACTTTTTGATCAGCAACATTGCAAAATTATTACGGGCATGCAAAGCAGGTGCACTCTTACTTTTATCTCCGGATTATGTAAAATTTCAGATTATAGATGCATCTGGGAGCTCGAGGAAGATTTCTAAAACAATTATTTATTGGAAGAAATAAAAGCCGGCGATAATATTATTTATATAATAACAATTACCATTTCGGTTGCTTAATATTCTACGCATGGCGTGCTAGGCCGCGTAGCTGATGCAAAATTTATAGGTACCTGGCCTTCTGAAAAATTTATAGTAGAAAATTTCTCACAGTGGTTCTTTCTTCGTCTCTTTTTCTATCGTCTCTGACATAGCCGTCGTTTTAAAACAAAAAGTGAACAAAGTATAAAAAAAGTTCGTCACACTAAATATGTCATTTGAAAATATTTTTATAATAAATAATGACTTTGTAATTTAGAGATAGTTAAAACATAGCGATAAGCAGTCTCCATTTTCTTCGGTATCTGAATGATCAAACGAAGAATAAGAATTTATTCTCAGTCTCTGGTTTGAGAAACATGTTGAAAAGTAGTCATTGAACGTAATCAACTTTTAGCTAAGATTTTTTTTAGAATGACGGGTGACACTATTGCAGTGAAAGGAGGTCTTTTTTCTTTTTCTTTTTAATTGCTACTTGTGTGATAATAAAACCACATACCGTGGTAATATCGTACGTGTTATTACCTTTGCGGTTACCCTTTATGGTAACCAGCAATATCATTGTTAATTACCTTAACTAAAGTAATGTTAACAGATTTATTAGATAATTATTGAGCACCTAAAAACCCAAATCAGAAAATTGTTACGGAGAATCGTAAAATCAGTGATTTTGTAGTGCCAATCTAATGTTGAGAAATGCTTTTTAAGTACTGTTTACAAGAAGGGGTAAAAGTTGTACTTAATATCTAAAATGTATTCAAACTTACTCAAAAGTAAAAGAAAATCATTGGCATAGAGAAATTTTGAATTTATTTTGGAGGTATACTTTTTATCGTTTTACAGGGTGTCCCGGTACTTGATACAAAAAAGCCGAGTACAGATATTTTTTTAGTTGCACTTAATTACTAAGTTAGAAGAGTACATATCTTTAAAATAAGA